ACATTTTCTTTTTACTCACAATAAATATAAAGGTCTGGAATTTATCATCTAGTGGAACCAGGAAATAGATAATCACAAAAGAATTAAGAATTATAATATTTTAGGGTGTGATGGGTGGTGGAAGGTAGGTAAAAAGGCTTCACCTGAACAAATTGGCTGCTTTCTGACAGAGGTCATTGCTCTAGCTAACTGTACTTCAATAATCTTTTTCAGAATAAAAAAGTTTTGGTTAGAAAGTATTTTCAGATAATCTATCTGCTTTGAAGTAGTTTTATAGCGGGGGGTCAACCCTAATGTGTATTTTATAGGGGAATACCTATATTACATATATACTTTTCTATTTTCCTTTTTCCCTAATAGTTGGAAGGGCTCAATTTTGGCAGCTACAATTCATTTTAAAACAGATTGTGTAATCTCTCAACCATTTAAACCCATCCTTCTTATATATCCATACATAAACAATTTTTAAAGGAATTAAAAAATTCCTATTTCTTTTAGAAATCCTATTATCTGGTCAGGGGCAATATCTTTAAACAATACTAAGGAAGCAAAAATAGGTATACAATAATGAAAAACAAAATGTGTGCACAAAACGTATTGTATTGATTATACAAACATATCAATAATAAACATATCAATCCCTCAAATGTTCAAACCCCAGCCTGCTCATTCACACTCTTCACTTTACCCAAAAACATTTATTATTAATACAGAAGCTTGGTTCATGAATTTAATTTGTTCTTGAAGCCCATTCGTAACCTGAAATGTTCGTAAACCAAAATTATTTTTCCAATAGGAATCAATGTAAAATGGATTAATCCGTTCCTGGTTCCAAGATGATTGCTTATTTAAACTTTAACAACAGTACTTTGTGCACAAGTTTATACACAAAACTAATGAAAATCATTAAATCTAAGAAAAAATAAATAAACCTAGTACTAAACAGTATAAATATAAACGAACACTTCAATGTTATCGTACATGTATGTAGGAGAGGTGACATCGGAAGGAGAAGGAAAGAGATGTTATCGTTTCGAAAATGGGAAGGAAAGACATGATTCTCTCATTATTTATAAGAATAGTATAGATTGTTGATGTTTGTCATATGAAACTGAGTAAAAAGAGACAATATCATCAACAATTGTTTTTCTCTTAACTTTTCTTTTTCCTTTACCAGTATCAGTGCTAGCTTTCTTTGGAGCCATGACTGAGGACTAATGAAGAGAAAAAAAGGCACAGTACAATAAAATTGGAAAAGAAAAGCACAGCACAATACACGAATGTATACAACACGGCAGTTGACTAAGAAATCATTCCATTAAGATTGACTCAGTTTGGCTTGGTTCGGCAATGTTGTTCGAGAACCAAAATTTTGTTTCATCTCAAATATTCTGTTTGAAAACTGATTTGTTTGACATGTAAGACATTCAGTAACCGAGGTTGCTCTGTATTTATTAAAAAATAATAAATGTATTATAATAAAAATAAAAATACTAGAAATGATTTTAATGAATTAAAGCAATTAAATGAACTCTAGAACAACTATTGTAATACTAGTATTATTACTTACTGTATACCTACTTTTGCAGTATTTTTATATTTGTGACATTGTAGTATTTACTACATTTAAGCTGATAGTGTTTACATTCAATGAGAATGTGCTTAACCAATAATCTATGATTGCAATGGGTACATCAAGGTACAACCTTCAGTTCTTAGCAGATGTACAAGAATTATTGTATGTCCAATATGAACTCGGGTTATCACAGTGTCCACCTCTTTGCTCTTTTAGTAGTTTCGGGTTTTCTTGTCTGATGCTTGGTTGGTTTTAATAAAATTTGTTTTCTGGGAATGTGTCCCATATTACTTGCCATTTGCAGTTATCAATTTTCTTTTTAAAATCTGCATATGGAATTTTTATATTAGTTATTTCCAAGTTACAGGTATTTTTTTGCCAGTTCATTTAAGTTCTTATTACCCTTTTTGCCAACATGGCCTGGTATCCATGCTTAATAATGGATTTTTGTAATTTCACCACACTGTTATAAGTATCCGGTATGTGTGCAACATGAGGGTAACGGGGGAGGGGGGGACAAAACATTAACCGTAAATTTCCCAAGTAAACATACAAAAGAGAAAACTGAAATAATGTTGACAGAGGATGAATAAAGCACAGATGTAAAATTGCCTAAAAACTTCATGGAAAATAATTAGCCATGATTTTGAAAACTAGAGTGGTAAAGACTAAAAGGGAAGGTACCTCCACTTGGTTGCATAAAAAACAGCATAGTGTAGAGGACCGTGTGTTTATGTGTTGTTGAATTAGAAACATGTGCTGTTTATTCCTGCTAGAAGAAGGTCCAACTACAAGAACATGGCGGACTCAAGTTGAGTTCAACCAAAGAGGTAAAGAAAACAAACAAGACCGATATATATATATATATATGTCAACAAATATGTGTATTAAACAACAAAATTTACAAGTGACAAAGACATCAACGTTTGTGTTTGTGTGTGAACATAAAGAGTTTGTATTTTGGTGAATGTTTGTACATACGTGTATGTGTGTTTCATGGCGTTTTCCCACAAGTGGTCAAAACGCAGATTTCTGCGAGAAATCATATTTTTAAATGTGTCCGCTGAAATGCAAAGTGATAAAGAGAGCCAGGCAAGAAGTCGCCCAGTATTTATAGTGTAGGGAGAGCGTCCCCTAGTGAACAATTAGGGAATTAAAGAGGAGTTAACTCCAACAATAGCACGATGAAAAAAGGCCCTAATCTCTATAAAAACAAAGTTTTGTCATCAAAATGTTTATATTATTATTAAGAGGAAAGACCAAAGTATTTTTATGTATTTATTTTAGTTTGGGTCATAATTCAATTAATTAATTTTTTGTTTAACTTAAGAACCTAGAGACGAAATGCAAATTTCATAAAGCTTTTTAAAAACCTAACTAAAAGTCAATAAAATATTTAATAAGTGCCAAAAATATGTTAATTTGTAAAAATTACTAGGTAGTTTAAAAACTAAAAGAAAAAAAATGCGTTCACTTAGATTTTGTAAATTTATGTTATTTCTGGTCATCCATAAAAGCTGTCCTCATCTTAAGAGCTTCTCGATAAGTCTATAAAGATCAAAGAAAGAGGGGACCCATCATTAAGAAATGCTTGTATATTGTTTTTTTTATGCTATAAGTAAGTAATACTTATTTCAAATCAGATTAATTTAACTTTAAATTTTCTAATTTTACTCAAATAACCTGTCACAAATCTATAATTTAATTTTGGAAGATTTTTAAAACCAATAAATTTGTTTTGTTTACAAATTTCTTGAAATTAAGAAAATGGCCGCTTTAAAAAAAAAACAAAAAAAAAAAAAAAAAACAAGCAATCATTTGATGTTCCAATCTATATAATTTCTATCTGAAATATGCCAGAATATTTTATTTACTGGAAATAATAAATTTAATCATTTCACTTTCAATAAAAGCTAAAATGAAATCTTCAAGAATACTTTTACATTTTGAAAATTTAATTTTAAACCTTAGGTTACTGAAAATTCAGTGGAGGTGCTTACTAAAGAGTGACAAATCAGAATTTTGGAAATGTGACACTGAAGTCGAGAGTGGCGTCTTTTTAGTGAGATGAAACTCTTTCTTGGTCAGAAGTAGGTAAACAGTAGTAGTAATTGTAATTTAGTCAGTTGTTAAATAGGACAGTATTTAAACACTAGACAACATATTTTTATGTACATTTAGGTGTCTAATTAGAAGAGTTTTTTCTTTTAGGAAATTTTCTAGCTCCAAGCCTGTCTATTGATTTTGCAATTCTTGACCCTTTAAATGATTTTCCAATCACTCCCACCACTTTTCATTATGACCCCCACTCCCATTTATTGCTTACTGAAAACAATTCCAACCCCACAACAGATTATTAAGACCCCACTCCAATGTCATATTAGATACTTAAGGATAAACATTATGAACTCTATTTACAGAATTTGTTTTTGAAAAAGTATATTTTTTTTAGAGCTGAAAGTTTCAACTCAGTGTACCACTCCAATATGGTGACTTGTATTTGAGAGAATAGAGAAAGATATTTTAATAAAAAAGGTGAAGATATAAATAAAATATTATTAAATCTGTATTTTTATCAAAATGTCGCAATTTATAAATAAGTAAAACCTTAAAAAAAAAAAAAAAAGGTAACAAAAGTAAAAGATCTTGATAGAACATTTTATTCACATTCTTAATATTTAGAGTGATGTGAAAAAAATATTTCCAAAATCAGATACAGTGGAACCTCGGTTCACAAATTTGTTCCTGAAAGCCATTCGTAACCCAAAGTGTTTGTAAACCAAAACTATTTTTTCCAATAGGAATAAATGTAGACAAAAAAGTCACAGTACAATAAAATTGGAAAAGAAAAGCATGGCACAATACACGAATGTATACAACACGGTGGTTGACTCAGAAATTATTCCGTTCGTGTTTGTTCGAGAGCCCAAATTTTGTTCAATAACTGAGGCATTTTCATCTTGAATTTTCTGTTCAAAAACTGATTTATTCAACATGTGAGACGTTAGAGAACCAAGGTTCCACTGTATATGCTTTAAAATTACTTCCAATAATTTATTAGAAAGTATAGCCAGAATACAGGAAGCCATTTTAACAAATTTAACTTAAAAATAATTTGGCTTATATCTACTATAATTTTCACTGAATATTGCTTGTTCAATTTACGAATAAGCAAAATTACTCTTCTTCATGCTTTATCACCAGCCATGTCTCAAGGCTGGATATTAGCTCCAACAAGTGATAACAAAATACAGCACAGGGAAGATTGAAATCATGCCTTTTTAAAGGTTAAAGCCAGTTTTCCAATTTTGTTTTTCAAATTGTGAGATGTTAATTCATTTTTTTTGGAGGGGGGGGGTCTATTTTGGACATAATTTTTTTTATGCCTCTCTGAAAAAAAATTAAAACAAATTCATAGGCTTACCTCTCGTTGAGAAATTATCCTCCGTGGGTGTGGTGCTTCTTTTTGCAATTGGTATACTGTAAAAAGAAGACAAATGAATTTAACAAAAAGATTATGAAAAATTTACACATACTAAAGTGTCAAAAAATATTTGGGCCCTGAAAAATAAAAACAAAAATGTATTTGACAAATATAAATTTGATATAAATAAAGAAAGCAACAATTACAAAGTGTAAAAACATTTTTTAACAGTGCCTCTAATTTAAAATACAATTATTGACACATGTTTGAAGTGTTATATACATTCCAGGTTTGCTCTTTTTATAAAAAGGTAATATTTTTTGTAATTCTTTACACCGGCTGATAAAACAGAAGAAAATACATTTTTATGCTTTAGTGTGAATATTAATTCTATGTAACATTTAATCAAATCATTAAATTTCCCCCCAATAAATATTGAATATAAAATCTCAACTGAAATTTCATCAAAATTATAAGTTTCTGACAATACTATCATTCCTTTTAGTAGTGCCACCAAGCAATAGGAATGTGTAGGTAATTCTGTCATCCATGTTTTTTTTTTGTTTTCTTTTTATATTAAATATTATTTATCCAAATTCCAAACAATAATAAAACAAAGACATATGTATGCTTGTTAAATAAATCATTTGTATTTATAAACATGTGTACATGGATTCAAAAGAGTCAAAAAGGAGTAAAAATAGTCTTCAGTTGACTTAAAGTCTTTGGGCCTTAGTCCAGCCTTCTTCAGGTGATTGGAATTTCAAACTGAACCTCTTATTTTGACCACCAGAGGAGATTGTTCTAGTTCCACATGCCATGCCTCTTCCAGATGTCTCAGTATTAGTCTCCCTTTAAGTCAACTCTCCAAATAGACATGGCCCAGTTGATAAAAGCATTGGTTGAATCCAGTGACTTGACCCAAAGAATCTGGCTACAGCAGAAGTGGAAAAAAACTTGGAGAGTTGAGTTAAAGGGAGATAACTGGTATTGAAACATCTGGAAGAGGCATGGCACGTGGAGTGAGAACAATCTGCCCTGGAGGCCAAAATAAAGAGTTCAATTCAAAATTCCAATCACCTGAAGAAGACCAGAGCATACAACAGCTAAAATATTGTGAATAGGGCAACAAAAATGAGTACAACAGTTCAAACAATGTAAATAATGTAAACATTTACTGCTGTTTTGAATAATTGAACTGTTATGTAATGATAACTCTTGTTTTCTCTTTTCTAAAAGTTACCATTAGAAATTGCTATATATGACTACTTACTTATTAAAGTAAATAAAATTGAAACTATAAAGAACGATGTCCTTGGCTTTGTATCCACCCACAATAGTGTCATGTGATACATTTGTGTGTCAAGGTTGTGTAAAAAAAAAGGAACTCTACATATGAAGAATAATTAAACTAAACAATGTTGCCAAAACTATATTACTTTAAACAAAACTGTAGAACATCAATTGTAATACAGAACATGCCATAAGAAGCCATTGTGTTAAAACAAGCACACTTAATCATGAATCAGTGACATATTTAAAAACATTTTTGTGTTTTTTAAGTTGTTTTTTAATCTAACTCTACACATTAATGGAAATTACTTGATTGTATTCTTCATATTTGATTGCAGATTTGAAGAAATATATAATGAACAAACATTTAACATTATGTAATTATCTAACAAGAAACATTCAAAACCTGAAAGAATAAAAACAGAAAAAAAAATGTATAAATCTTTCTGTTGAGATTAGAACAAAATTATTTCTTAAATTTTAATGTGGTTTTTAATAAACAGACAAGTTGCTAATATATAAGTAATATGGGCAAAAGAATTTACAGGAAAACAATTTTTCCCCAAAAGTGTGAATTTTGTTACCAAACATTACTTTAAAAATCAAAACAATGAACTAAAATCAACTAAACATTACCAATAGTCTGAGTATTTTACAAGTTTATAGATCAGTATATTAGGTAATGATGATTTCTGTTCATTTGTATATTGGAAATATAGTACAAATGTGTTTGTTGAAAAATCTAACATCTTTAGGTCATATAGAAATCTTTACCATTACAAAAGGACAGATTATTTCCAGGTGAGGATTCCTAAGTGATGACAAAACTGTTTATATTATTAACCAAGACACTATGACTAATATCCTTAGGAGGAAAAGAAAAAAAAAAAAAAAAAAAAAAAAAAAAAAAAAAAAAAAAAAGGAAGGAAACTTTTTGTGGTACAGCTAATTGGTACAGCAGCCAGAGTTAAAAATAAAAAAAATCTAAATACCTTTTCAGGTAAGATTGTTTAAGTTAATAAGGCTAATAAGCTGGTATCTTTAAGTAGATATGTTTTGACTTTATTGTAAGTCAAGATTCTATGTTGTTGTTGAGTGATAAATATTGTTTTTGTCTAAAAACAATACTTATCACTCAACAACAACAACAAAAATTATAGAATCTTGATTTACAATAAAGTCAAAACATATCTATTTAAAGATATTTTACTAAGTTTAGTCTGGTGCTAATGCATGATAAGAATTGTTTAGCACCTAGTGAGAATCAAACTCACGAAACTAGTAATGGAAAAAAGATCAACTTGGTAAGTATTTTTTTTTAACAGGAATATAACCAACAAGAGTCAAAATAAGAAAATGATGATTAAAATGACTCAAGTTATCTCCCTTGGAAGAAATTAATGAAAATAGCAGACATGCAAGTGGCATGGTGACTTTTCAGTACTTAAGATAAAAAAACAAAAAAAGCAAAAAAAAAACTTGTTGGTCTGTCAAAGCTGACAATTGGGGGAGAATTAAATCATGAAATTACGGGATTCGGTACTTGTGAGTTATTTGTTGCTACTTTTTAAAAAGCGTTTCTTGTTCGTTTCTACATTTTAATTTATGTAATGGTGATCTTTTATAAATCTACAATTGTTTTTTTTTTTTTAAATTAATTTTTCTTTCCTTTTTTTTCAGACTACTAAATGAATCTTTGGGATAGTATATTTTTACACATCTGTATTTGTGAAAAAGTTGGAAAATTAATTTTAAAAAAGTTGTGACAGATAACCCACAAGTACCAAGGATTATTTCACCTGAGACAAGAAATTTTTTATAACAACACACACAGAAGGTACTAAAAAGTTATCAACCTGCTCAAAAAAAAGTATTCCAAAATTAACTGTGATACTTGGTCAATACCATGGGAAGTGGATTTTCATCACACTTTTGTGTAAAATACAAGTTTACACAATGCAAATTTCTGTTCATTTAGTACACAAATTCTGAAAGAAACTGGCAAGAATTTAATTATTCAATCATATATATATATATATATATATATATATATATATATATATATATATATATATATAATTAAATTAATAAGAAAGTACAGTAAGATTTATAATCCGGTGTTCTTAGCAATTATTTTTATTTTTTAAAAAAAAACAGTGCTCGATACAAACAATAAAGCATAATATTAGAATTATTTTCTTTTTTAAAAATCTGATTCCATCACAACACAGAAATTTCTGTTTTAAAACTGAAACTAAAATTGTAAATTTAATTATAAAAATTAATCTTAAAATCCAGAATTTCATTCCATTGTCAAGCGGTGCTAGGAATATATATATATATATATATATATATATGAAAAATTTCTCAGAATTAACCTGTAGAAAAAGACAATATTTATAAATGTAAAAGACAATAGGAAAACTGTAATATTTGCCGACGCGTTTTATCCAATGTTTTAATAAATTCATTTCGTTTTTTCCTTGAAAAGTCCACATTGGACAAAGTGCGTCGGCTAATATTACAGTTTTCCTATTGTCTTTTACATTTATAAATATATATATTTTCATATTTTGTTTCAGGGAAAATATTTCTCAATGAACACATATGGAAATTTGAGTCAGACCTGAAGCTGATAAATATATTTTCCAAACCAGAAAAAAATTAAACAGGAGATTAGAATTTTGTAAAAGTTTAAATGAGAAACAATGTTCATGTTGAATTGATAAAAACATTTAAATTACCAGCAAGTATTTAATGTATCTTGCTTGCATCATTTCAAAGTTACTCTTATGCCCACTAGTTCATATATCAACATTAACCTCATCATAAAAAACAAGAATAAGAAAATCCTATTTTCATTATCAATTGATAAATAGCTAAGTGATAATGCTCAATTACAGGGCCATTGCAAGGGTCTTGTGGCAACCCCAGATTCCGAAATCTATGATACAGGATCATCCACTCTACTAGATATCAATTTTCATAAGGTAGTATTGTTAATTAACCTAATTATGTACAATAATGGATCATATGTAATATAGGTAAACAGTTCAATTAGAAAATAAATACAATGTATCTAAATACAAATTAGAGACATGTCAGAATAGTTAATTCCATCATAAATTAATCAATAATGTTTTGTGTTAATTTTTACACCAACTTGAGTTTTTTCTTTTTAAAAAGTTGAATAATTTTAACACATTCAATATTATGGGTAAAAAATAGTGACTTTTATATAATTTTTTTTTAGACTAAGCATGAGCAAACAAATTCACAGATTTGAATAAATAAAAAAGAAGACCCCAGGATGGTGTCAAAATTCACAAAAAATTTTCATCCATTAATAGTCTTAGTTTATTTTGTAATGCATGTAAATGTAAGTAGAAAAAAAACAAATGTTGATAAAATAGCAAGGGTCACAAAGCATTGCCTGGGCCCCCAATCAGACTTGAGGTTGAAGGTTTTGCGAGTAGTATGCACCAGTTCTGCTAAATTACTGGGTTTAAATGCATAAAAAATAAATTATGTTGCTCAACATCAAATAGAATAGCAATTAAATCTATCAAGATTACTTTTTATTTTGATATAATGTGGATCAGAAGATGATAATACAAAATCATTACAAAGAATAAACTCATAAAAAATGAGTATTATCAATTTAAAAATTTGTGCTATTAACAGGCAAAATAATTATTTTTATTTTGCCCCTTCAGGATAGCAGTTGGTCTATTAAGTGTTGCTGTCATCTAATGGTTGTTAG